ATCCATTTGGTCGATTGTACAGTTTAAGTCCCAGAACCCGTGGCTTGAAAAACATGCCAGGTGTGTGTATGTGTATTCAAAATCCTTAGAGTAAAATAGAGATGGGACTACAGTGTGGCCATTCTCCCCCCTCCCCAGGGTGTGTGTGTGTGTATGTGTGTGTGTGTGTGTGTGTGTGTGCTTTCTCTTTCTCTGGCTGGTAAATACATGTGCCTTATGCCAAATTAAAAAAAAAAAACTTAAATAACAAATTATTTTAATTATATAATAGGGATGATATCCAGTGCTCCACGTACAACTCAAAGTTTCAGTAAAGAGGCCAAAGCCTCTCTGTCCCCAGGAACCACTGTTACCTCACATGGGAAGAAGAGAGAAGCCCTGCCTTATTTACCAGTAGGGCTCCATTTGTTGCCTTGAGACAATCAGATCTTTTGGTATTTTTCCTATGTTCCCAACCAGACCTGAACATAACCTAGAAGGGCCAGTGATTCATTACCACAGAGATGAAAATAGTCTCTTCTGGTCCTGCTTGGTCAGAAGCTCCATGACTTAGGGGAAGGAGGAAGAGAAGTTAGAACTCACTTCCCCCAGTGCTGTGGTTTTCATATATGCTAAAGGATCTAAATATTTACTTACTTACTCAGAAAAAAAGGTTAAACTTTCTGTACATAAATAATCATTATAAAAACACATTTAAGGGCCAGGAGGTGGTGTGGTGGTTAAGGTGCTGGATCCCACATGGCCTACCCTGTGGTTTAAGTTCCGGACCTAGGGTTTAAGAAATCACGTTGGGCCCTGGTGCAGGCATGCCCAAAAAGTCCAAGAGAAAAAGGAACTGCATTTTGGTCATCCTCCTTGGGGTGTATGTGTATTTTCTCACTTTTCTTTTCTCTCTCTTCGGTGAGCGCACACACTGAATACCAAAACATTAAAAAAAATAATAATACCACAGATAAGTTGTGGAATAACTGAATAATAACATGTTTGAAACACCACAACTGAATATCTACTAGTCTGAGGGTTTGTGGTTAAAAATAACACTAGAAACCAAAGCAGATTTAGGTCTCACAGGGTAGAAAAGTTGCTCACAGATAAGTCTAGGGGCTATAATAATCAGATTTGGAAATCCTATAGCTTTATGTCTAAAAGCAGGCTAGTCACTAAATTACATGTAACTTTTTCCCCTTGTCCTCAGCAGACTGGAAAAAAAAAAAACAACAACTCATTTCTAGCATATGGAAGAATTTCAACACTTGGGAGACAAAATATCAATGACTAAACTCTAATTTAAGAATATTGCCCAATGAAACCTGTATTTTTTTTTTTTTCGTTGTTGCTGTTGTTAAAATTTTGCCAGAGGGCACATGTGCTTGCTGGAAAGAGAGAGAGATAGAGAGATAAAGAGAGAGATAAAGGGAGGAAGCACCCCTCTCCCAACCCCCCCCCGCCAAGGGTTGATCACGCTGCAATCCCTTCTCCTCCATCTCCCCCTTTTTTCAGAATTTTGAGCATGCACACACATGTACCCTGTGTATTTTTCTTGTCTCCAGGTCTGGGACTGTAACTGCATTAGCCATGTGGTACCCTACTGCTTTAACCACCACGTGGATGTCCCTAAAATTTGTATTTCTAAATTAAACCAACTGGACGTTTTCACATGGCAAGAAGTATATTCAGTGACTCAGAATTTTCTTCCTTCAAATAATTTTCTAAATATTAGTACTTTCTAGATCTATTTAAAACCATTGAGAATCCTACTTTATGAAACCATGAAATCTCAGTAGCTTTACTAAAATACGGTGATTATCTTTATCAAGCTTTCTCTTGTCCATATATGTTGGACAAAAGCTTTAAAATTAAACTCTTAACATGTACGGCCTATTTTTTCTTACATTCCCTCAAATAACTTGCACATACTCAGAGCTTCATTGGTTTTGTCAAATGGAATTTACTGGACTGTTACATGAAAACATGCAAATGTATACTTACCGAAATAAACCCTTACAGCATTCAAATCCTCAGCATGAGATATTTATATGTAAATAAATATCTATAACTAATATATGTTTAATTCTAAGTAACAAGCTGATGCAAGGCCTATAATGAGTTACAGGGTGGTATCTTGAATACTTATTTTTTCTTACCATTTTGTAAAAATTATGTGGAAAAAAATTATGTGGCTTTAATGTTTCTGTATACTTTCCAATTCTAGCTGTTGTATAACATCAATGACCTTTAAAATTCACTTCATGTTTTAGAAGTCTCAGAAAAGCCAGGACACAACTCCAGTGAAATAACACAGAAATTAAAGAATGAAGTGAAAATTGACACTCACCCTACACTTGAACTATGTCATGCTGGGAATTCATATATTGAATATAATGAGCCTTTTCTAACAGTCTCTAGCCTGTGCTAGAATTAGTCTGTAAGGCTGGAACAACAAGACAGGAGACAGGAATGTCTAAAGCAGTGCTTTTCAATCTTTAGCCAAATATATCAGAATCACCTGAAGAACTTGCCTCAACTCAGATTACTGAGGCCAGTAGGTGGCGTGGTGGTTAAGATACTGGACTACCACATGGCTGACGGTGGTCCGAGTCTCGAACCTGGTGGCTTGCAAATCAGACTAGGCACATGTGTGTGTATGCCCAAAATCCCAGGAGGAGAATAAAGAAGAAGGTACTGCTGTGTGGCCATCGCCCCTAGAGGATATCTTCTCACTCTCCCTCTCATTGTCTCTCTCTGGTGAGCACACATACCCTATGACAAAAATCTGAAAACAAAACACCTTGGATTACTGTATCCAAATTCTAGAGATTCCGTTTCAATAGGTCTGAAGTAGAATCAGAGAATGTGCATTTCTTACAGGTGCCCAGGCACGGCTGGTGCTGCTGTCTACATTGAGGACCACTGTTCCAAAGAGTACTGACAAACTAATGTGTTATGGTGCTCAAATGCTCCAGAGATTTTCTACATGGTCTAGTTTTCTGACAAAAATAAAGAGTAATTTAACACAGAAACCAGAGAGATGTAGTTCTGTTGTAGAATAAAGACAAAATAGAGGAGAAAAGTTAATAAAGTATACAACGGCATCTTTAGGGAGACTAAAAGTGCCAGCTTTATTTAGCAGGTCATGAGTCTAAATGCATAGCTATTCTGGCGTGGATAAAGGTTTAGGTGGAAATAACTGTGCACAGCAATGCTGAGATAATTCTAGATGAGGAAATCTGCATATTTTCTAACACTCCAGTAAACCCAACCGGATCTGACCTTGTCTCCTAATTTGAGTGCTGAAAAGAGCCTGAGCAACCACAATTGCGGTCAGACAGAATTTTAGTGCATCATTCATCAAAAAACATCTTGCTAAATTAAGGCCAAATGCAGTGTGGACACTACAAGGGACTGAATCTACTTTTGTGAAAAACAAAAAGGACACAAAGAACCAAGGAAGCGTGAAGAGGAAGAGGAGCAATCGTTGAGTAAGACAAACATCTGATGCTATATTTGAACAGACTCTAAAGACAGATCGTGTTTTCTCCTGGCTGGTCTTACAGAGATGGAGATTTGTTTTCAAGATATTCACTCACTTTTTTCCTGACATCACCAGCAAGTATTGAACATGAGGCTTAATTATGCATGAAAAAGCTCCCTCAAACTATTATGTATATTTAAGGGATATATACGTCTTGGTCATAAATCACTCTATATCAGACATTAAAGTAAAATGATAACGGTTCTACTTTCACTCACAGAAAATAAATTCTGCCACCTTCAAGTTGTGCTTGGATGAACCCAAGAGAAAAGATAATTTCACATCATTACATATTCAACTCAAAGAGGTCAACCACTTTAATAAATCATAAGGTGGAATTAAAATGCAACAATAGTAAATGAATATTAAACACTTGCATACTTAACATACCAAATTCATTAAGCTATGAATCCCTAGAAAATGATGAAATGACAATGGATTTTCAAACAATTTATTTTCCAAATGTTATTATTTTTTCTGTGCAACCAGATCTGTGCCATCACTTTGCTGGAATAATACACTCTATCTGCTGTTACAGATTAACAAAATTAGATCTAAGAATCTCTTAGCAACTATAGACATTTTAAAATCTTTGCTTTTAATCTTATTGCACTGGTCAATAGTTTCAAGTTTTTAAGAGCAGTTATGCTCATGTCAATGTTTCATAATATGTAATTTTAAAATATAATGATTCATAATCTCAATTTGGAGGTCTAGAAATTTTGAGTTGTTGCAGGGCTAATTCTGATATGCTAACTTATTGCTAGTTGAGGCAATGCTAGGTTATAAAATTTATGATTAATAGTGAAACACACAAGGTAATTTTTTTTTTTTAGAGGTTTTTGCTATAAGGGCACTTGAGTTCGCCAGACAGAGAGAGACAGAGAGACAAAAAGCGAGAAATCACCCCCACGGGGGATGGCCACCTAATTCTGATATGCTAACTTATTGCTAGTTGAGGCAATGCTAGGTTATAAAATTTATGATTAATAGTGAAACACACAAGGTAATTTTTTTTTTTTTAGAGGTTTTTGCTATAGGGCACTTGAGTTCGCCAGACAGAGAGAGACAGAGAGACAAAAAGCGAGAAATCACCCCCACGGGGGATGGCCACACTGCAATCCCTTCTCCTCCCTTTGCCTCTTGGGATCTCGGGCACGCATGCACACATGCCCAGCGTCAGTTTTAAGCCACCGGGTCCAGGACGCGAACCGTGGTTGACTACGTGGGAATCCAGTGACATAGTCCTTACGCTAACTGCTGGTCCCAACAAGGTAATTTTTCAGACAGACACCAAATTAAAGAATTAGGTGTAACCTTATTCAATACCAAAGTGTCAATTACTTTCCATAGGTATCTTTATTGATTTACACATTTGGTTTCAAATGGTGCCATTGGTAAATTGACTTTGTTTGTTAAAACAGTGATGAGCTATACAGTGGAAATAGCTTCTCTTTCCATCACTTACCTAGGTTTTGCCACATGCTGAAGATTTCACATCCCATTGTTACCCGCATGTCACCATACCTGAAATAGAACAAAATCAAACCTGATAAAAAGCCTCCAGAACAAAGAGGTATTTGCATGTCTTCAAAATACAATTTATTATTCTGAAGTAAAAGGCTTTAATGAAAGATATTTAATATATCAATACATGACTTGATGCTTCTAAATCAAATCCTTTTCTGGTAAAACTGATCTATCTCATAATTCATTGTTTCTATATTAATTTTAAATCCCAAAAGACCTAGGACCAAAAAAAAAAGCATCATTAAGTTTAAAATATTGAAATTTCCAAAAAAGATAGCTTCTTGTTCTCTCAATCATTGCTTCTCCACTGTGTGTTTTCCAGTTAAGGACATCCTGATGTATGAAACATTTAAAAGGCAATGTTTCCCACTTGGTTATATGTTGGTACTTACTTTTCTAATACCTTTTTCTTTTTGGAAGGTGTGAACATCTCCAGCTGCAGACACAACTGGTTTATAAAAATGACAGCAAGGTAAAAGTAGGAATCCCAGATCTAAAATACAAGAAGATATTTAAATACTATGGGGGCTGTACAAATATTTATACATGAAGTGATATAGTATCTTAGATTTGCTCCAACAGTAATAAATAAGTTGGCATATAGTTGAAATAAGATAGGTCGTAAGTTGGTAATAGTCAGTTAGATATGGGTATAAGGGTTTGTTACACTATTTTCTCTACTTTTATATGCCCAGACATTTCTTTTTTTTTTTTTTTTTTTTTTGAGAGGTTTTCGCTATAGGGCGCGTGCGCTCGCCAGACAGACAGAGACATAGAGACAGAAAGCGAGCAATCACCCCCCAGGGGGGATGGTCACGCCGCAATCCCTTCTCCTCCATTCTCCTCTTGGGATCTTGGGCACGCACGCACACGCGCCCGGCGTGAGATTTAAGCCACCGGGTCCGAGACGCGAACCGCGGTCGACTACGTGGGAGTCCAGCGACATAGCCATTACGCTAACTGCTGGTTCCCTGCCCAGACATTTCTATAATAGGGTGTAAACTAAATAAATGCTATCTAGTTATACACTGGAATATCCCAGGTTTCATGAACTCTCTGGCATATACAGTAAATGGAGAGGTTCGATTTCTATTATCACATGTCTGAATAACTTCAAGGAGGCTGAGGGGGAAGATGGATTACTTTATTCCTGTGTGAATTCATTTTTGGAACTACTTTTGATGTAGAACTTCGAAAAAAATGCATACACTTCTTTGGGATATGTTAATTGTTTTAAACTCAGATAGTATATAAAAATTCCCTTCCTAGACAAATCTTTTGAGTCTAAGTTTTCTTATACTAAAAACAGAATCAGAGACAGGATAAAATTCCCTGAAATAAATTTAGCAAAAAATGTGTAGGACATAATAGAAAGAAACTACTTTTCTATTGACACCATGTAAAATTAGAGAAAAATAACAAGCTAGGAGAAACGTGACAAAGAATATCTTTTGTGTATAAAGAACTCACAATAAAAAAAGAACATAACAAAACTCCAAGCAAATAATGAACAAAGGCCAAGAACAACTTACATTAAAAAATTCTATTAAAAATTTTTTTATTCAAAGAAAAATGTTCCCCTTATCTAATTTTCAAAAACATTTCTCTTCCAATATTGTTATAGATATGACAATAGGTAATCAACTATAATTGGTATAATGATCTTTACCAAAACAACTCCACTAATAAATATTGACTCAAAGAAATAGCCAGGGATATGTGCCGAGTTTTATTTTGTAAGAATGCAAAGAGTAACTTAAAGAATGAAATAGTAGAAAACCTTATCTAATTTTCAAAAACATTTCTCTTCCAATATTGTTATAGATATGACAATAGGTAATCAACTATAATTGGTATAATGATCTTTACCAAAACAACTCCACTAATAAATATTGACTCAAAGAAATAGCCAGGGATATGTGCCGAGTTTTATTTTGTAAGAATGCAAAGAGTAACTTAAAGAATGAAATAGTAGAAAAATTGAAATATCAGAAAATAGACCTCTGACTGTGAGTTTTAACATATTATTATTAATTGTAGGATGATATAGAAAAATATGATACACATAATTATGTAATCATTAAAATTTAATTGGCTTTACTATATTTGTGCTTTTTTGCATTTTTCTAGTTATCCAGTAAGAAATTTTTTAAAAGAACTACTTTTTATTATTTAACTTTATTTTAATTTGACCAGGGAGGGACAAAGTGAGAAAGAGAGGGAAAGAAAGAAAGAGGAAAAGCAAACCGCTAGGTCCAGGACTCAAACCATGGTCAGCCATGTGGGAGTACCAGTGCCTCTAACCACCATGCCACCAGTCAGCCCCCAGTAAGAACATTTTATAAACTATGTAATATAAAACTAATATTAATAATAAATAAAATTAAATAAAACAATTCTTAAAAATTTAAAAATAATAAGAAACAAAGATGCTGAAAAGATAGAACCATTATATAGTTTCTTTTTTTAAAGATTTATGCCATAGGACATGTGTGGTCACCAGAAAGAGAAAAGGAAAGTGAAAATCACCCCACAGAGGAGATGGTCATGCTACAATCTTTATTCCTCTGTTATTGTCTCAGGATTTGGTGATGTGCAGGTTTTTCAAGCCATTGGGTCTGGGACTTGAACCACAGTCAACAATGTGGGAGTCCAGTGATGCAATCAGCCCCTCCATCAACTTTTTGATAACCTCTCTGGATGTGCACACAAGAATCTAGCAGGTTTTTCAAGCCACTGGGTCTGGGACTTGAACCACAATTGGCAATGTGGGAGTCTAGCTCCTTAATCACCTCATGGCCTGCTGGCCTCTGATAGAATCATTGTTAAGAAGGGAAGACAATATAGGCCATGTTCATCTTTGGTTACCATTTATCAATTGCTATCTTAAGAATAATACATCAAGAATTTGTAGGTCCCTAGGCATATCACATTATCTTACAGATGTACAGAGAGTTCTTCTTTAGAGAATCTTATCTAATCTTTCAATTTTTCCTTTTCATTAATTCATTCCCACAAAATGGAAAGCTAGAGAAGGAATCAAATAGCTTTATTTATTTATTTTTTAAAAGGTTTTTGCCTTAGGGAGTGTGTGCTCACCAGAGAGAGAAAGAGAGATAAAGACAGTGAGAGGGAAAGTGAGAAACTACCCTCCTAGGGGGAATGGCCATGCTGCAATCCCTTCCCCATTCTCCTCCTAGGATCTTGGGCATGCACTCACATGTGCTCAGCCTGAGTTTCAAGCCACCGGGTTTGGGACTTGAATTGTGATCAGCCCTGTGGGAGTCTAGTCATGTAATTGCTACACCATCTGCTGACCCCAAGAGTTTTCTTTATAAATATTTTTCTCACTCTACTTTTAGTTTAAAAGCATTGTGTTTTAAGTCCTCTTTGTCATGCACAGGGGCCATATAGAAGACAGCAACAATTAAAATCTACAGTAATAAAGAACTATTATCTTCTAAGCAGTATGGTATCTACCAAGCTGATAGGATTTTATAGACCTAACTTGTTGACAAGCATAATGAAAACTGTTCTATCGTTCTCCACAGTTGAAAGTAATAGGGCTCAGGGTCAGCAGATTATATTAGCAGTTACACTGCTGTACTCTCACATGGCCGACTGCAGTTCAAGTCCCAGACCCAGTGTCTTGAAGCTTGTGCCAGGTGCATGTGCATCCATGCCCAAGTTTCTGAGAGCAGAATGGAAGAGAAGAGATGGCATGGCCATAACCTGTTGGGGATGATTTTCACTTTCCCTCTCACTGTCTCTGTCTCTCTCCAATGAACACACGTATCCTACGGCAGAAATCTCTAAATAGAAAATGTAATAGGGCCCATGAAAATATGTTAGAAAATATTTTCCTAAAATACAAGGTGAATCATTTAGCCCAAGAAAGAGAGTCATGTAAATGGATACGTACCTTATAATCAAAGTTCTCATTTAAGAAGTTCTTACGAAGTGCATCCGAGAGGTACAGAACTGTTGTAATAATAACACTAGTGAAAAAAAAAATTCAGTTGAAAAACTTCATAGTAGTACATTAATAGATAAAAATAAAAAGCAACTAAGACAAGAAAATTTTCAGTAAGCATATGATGCAATATTTAGATAATATATATTTGAAATGAAAAAAAGATGCCAGCTCCCTCTAGCCAGAAAGAAATCAACTAATCAATCAATCTTCATTGAAGTTATTTGAAAAGTGACACAGAAAAAGTTCTATGAATTCATGTAACTCAGACAAAAATATAATAACATGTTGATGTTTTATAATGTTTTGTTTATTTCTAAATAAAGCAAAATAATTTAACACAAACACAGCCTCCTGTATTGATTATCATGGAAGAAGCCATACTTAAAAAAAAATACAGGAAAAAAAGATGAAATAGATGAGATAGGATGATGGAATGCACTATAGATTGATTAGCCTTCTCTTTGTTCTCCCCTATTTAAGTGTTAGAGGGCAGGCAAGAACTGTGGAAGGGACTCCCTCTCTCTGGACGACAAGATTGCCACTAAAGAAGCAATTACTGACTGTGAAATTGTCTATAACCCGGTACTAAGCTGTGCGAATCTGGCAGAGGGTCGGAGCCATTTGGAGAAAGGGGCGTCTGCAGGGCAGGACAGAGTGGACAAAGTCTGACAGAGGGGACACACAGAGCTTTATGTACCTTGCTAGGGAGATTAAAAAAAAAAAAAAAAAGCACTTAGCATCTTTTGCTGGTTTTAGACTTCTGTAATTTGTTCAAAATCTGGTTATTTTTATAGCCAATATATTCCAAATGTATTTTCCATTGATTAATTTAATGTTAGATACAGCATTATATTGCAACAAGATAAGCCACCCCCCACAAACTACTCTAAACTAAACACCAAGATGCAAATGGTTGATATTTAAACCGTCCTTGGCCTTTCCCAAGATGCATGCATAATGCAGTGCTGTGCTGTGCTGAGGCCCCAGCTCACATCACAGGACCTGGAATCGAAAGCTGTAGCTGTTGGATCTAAGATAAGAAGATACAAACAAGCTGACACTGCACACGCACACACAAGGTCACATCTTGGTTACCCCACTGGTAAAAATTAGAAGAGTATTTGCAAATCAGAAGAATATTTATAGTCTTTGAAGGATGTAGAGACACATTTAGAGAGAGAACTTGAACCTCAAGGCAGATGCCGACAGAAGGACATAAATCTTGATCTACTGGAACACTCCTGTTACATCTTTCTTGTGGGCAGAAACACTAACAAGGGTATGGGGCCAAATGCCTAAACATGGAAGTTCAAGACAAAAGGAATAAGAAGGAAACCACTGTTTCATGGGCATCTGCTCTACCCAGAGCAGGACCTGTGTTACATGAACCTACATGTGTCATTTATATCTTTCAATGAGCCTTACCATGAAAATTAAATATAAGAAAAACCTATGAGATTGAGAAGTCCCATGGTTTCTTCAGCCTCCCAAACAGCTGATTTTATCTGTAAAATTTCTATCAGAGATAAGTCACCTGCAAATAATGGTATAAAGTGTTGATTTTCTATAGGCACTGGCAAAATCAATGATGGTAACTGAAAAAAATTATTGATGTTTCTAAAGTATGTTGCTCAAATTCTATTGTACGAAACTAAAGCTTAATGATCAGAAAATGAAACACTATCAATGAAGAAAATGATTCTTTACCCTAGAATCTAGTATAGAATTACTGGACTTTCAGATTTAAAGAAGAAAAGTTGGGACACCAAGCAATGGCACAGTGGTAAGGCAACTGAATCCACACCAGGTTCGCTGGTTCATATCTCAGGGCCTTCCTGTGTATGTTGGTGTGCATGTGCCCATGACCTGGGCCGGGTAAGAAAGGGGATGGATTGTGGCATGGGGACCCTGTTAGGGTTGCCTCTCAGAGGAAATGAATAGATAAACTTTTAAAAAGTAGCTTTCAAAACGAGAAGATTTTGCATTCCTTTTTAAAAAACAACTAATTTGTAATTATTATACAATTTGACCAGAGAGATAGAGAAAAAAAGAGACAGAAAGAGAGAGAGGGGGAGTGAGTAAGCAAGCCACCAGGTCCAGTATTCAAACTGTGGTCGGTGATGTGAGAGTCCAGCACCTTAACTAATATGCCACCTGCCAGGCCCATGTATTCTTTTTCTTTTGGAGAGGTTTTTGCTATAGGGCATGTGCGCTTGCCAGAAAGACAGAGAGAGACAGAGAGACAGAAAGTGAGAAATCACAACCCTGCAGGGGAGATGGTTATGCTGCAACCCTTTCTCCTCCTTTCTCCTCTTGGGATCTTGGGCACTCACACACACACATGACCAGTGTGAGTTTTAAGCCACCGGTTCAGGACTAGAACCACTGTTGACTACATGGGAGTCCAGGGACATAGCCATTAAGCCAACTGCTGGTCCCAACCCCATGTATTCTTAATATGTGGTTATAAGGACAAGTTTTGGCTTTGAGGTTTAATGGAAAAACACACACAGTCCCATTACAGGTGATTCTTCCATGTACTGAGAGCTGAGAACCACAGCTCTAAACTAGGGCAGTGCCTCTCAAACTCTAATGGGTACTCGGTAGTGTAGTTAAAATGCAGATTATGATCCAGCAAGCCTGGGCATTTCTACCCTGCTCCAGGGGTGCAAATCTGTGGTCTGTAGCCCACACTCTGAAGAAGACTCTAGAGGTCTGAGTCAGAAAACTATTCCAGCAAATTCCACTTCAGTATTCTTCCGATTTCTAGAATGTTAGGCAGATTCTTACGGTTCTTTAATGGGGGCACGCAGTCCCTATTTCCAAATTAAACACCTCACCCACTGACCAGGGCTGCTTTACATTAGGCAGAAAGGGGCAGAGGGCATAGTGCCTACGAGCCTTTCAGGGGCTCTGAAACTACTGAGACAAAGAAAGAAATTAGAAAAGAAAAGAAAGAAAAGAAAAGAGAAGAAAAGGAAAGAAAAGGAAAGAGAAAAGAAAAGAAAGAAAGAAAAGGAATAAAGAAAGAAAGGAAGAAAGAAAGGAAAGAAAAGAAAGAAAAGAAAAGAAAGAAAGAAAAGGAATAAAGGAAGAAAGGAAGAAAGAAAGGAAAGAAAAGAAAGAAAAGAAAAGAAAGAAAGAAAAGGAATAAAGGAAGAAAGGAAGAAAGAAAGGAAAGAAAAGAAAGAAAAGAAAAGAAAGAAAGAAAGAGACAGAGAAAGAGAGAAAGAGAGAGAGAGAGAAAGAAAGAAACCAAATTAAAACTATGAATTAAGAAATACTAGATGCCATCAAATGTCCAAACATCTGAATAATTGGTATCCCATAAGGTGAAGAGACTCATACAGGCATTGATAATCTATTCCATGAAATTCTGCATGAAAACTTTCCAAACCTAGAGAGGCATTCAAAGATACAGTCCCCAAAAATGCAAAGGATCCCAAATAGAATCAACCCTGGAAGATCTTCTCCAAGACACATTATAGCCAGATTGACCAAAACCACAGACAAAGACAAGATACTAAGACTAGCAAAAGAGAAACGTCAAGTTACCTACAAAAGATATCCAATCAGGCTAACCTCAGACCTCTCATCAGAAACAATGCGAGCAAGAAAAGAATGGGAAAATATACTCAAAGTGTTAAGGAAAAATCACTTTCAACCAAGAATACTGTACCTGGCATGATTATCCTTCATAGGGGAAGAAAAGACAGGAACATTATCAGCTATACAAAACCTGAAAGAATTTACCAACACCAGACCAGATCTCCAAGAAGTTCTCAAAGGAGTGCTATACCAGGAAAATTAAATACAGACACACAGAAATAAGAGTTCAAAAACTACGAAAATGGCCAATGTAATTGTAGGGACAAGTCTGTAGTTGAATATTATATCCCAGAATATTATTAGGAAAATTGAACCATGAGAAGATAGATTGAGTACATGAGACTGAACTGAAATTGCATTTTATGACTTTTGACTAAAACATTGCTGATTTTCTTCTAGGTTTTGTTTTCCAGTTTTATGGATTTTTGTCCTGTCTTGATCTGCCGAGAGGTTCATGTACCTAGTATTTGAACAAAATCCTAACCTGCTTCCTGACTTTAAGTTTTAAGCAAAGTTCCTTAGCATTTCTTTGATTTATTAAAGCTAAAACTGCTTTTCTTGAAATTAAAAAATATATTTAAAAATACCTATTTAATGACCACAGTCAGCTATAGAGCATTGGCTAGGTGCTATTTCATAGTATATTAATTCTAATCAGAGTTTTATGCCTAAAATCAGACATGTATTCACAGAAATGTATATAACCACTGAACTTGCTATTGAAAGTAGTTAGATTATTTAAGAAATTTTGTGAATCAATAACATGTGGGGAAAAATGGAAGAGGGTGAGAAATAGGAAGAAAATACACACATATATATGAAACTAGAAATGGAAAATTATCGATAACATGTATGAGGCATCTACTATACAGTATATTCTGGATGGGAAATCACATTTTGTATGCTGTGACAATGCTCAGTGAGTGAATGTAAATTAATTAAAAATAAAAATTTTAAAAATTTTAAAACAAAAAATCACAATATGTTTACAGAATATAACACCATGAAATCCATTAATTGTCCAATTGAATGTTTATGCAAATTTTATACTAAAAAATTATAGGTTACTTTTTATAACTTCACAAGAATTCCTAAGTGTCCATAAATGCTGAGAAGTCACAGCTAATCAAATAAAATGACTTACTCATAAGCCAATAATTTTAGAAGCAAATGTAAAAATGCTTTTAATTATTTCCTCAGCAAAAATCTGTCCAGTGTGGCATGTGGGCCTATTTAATGTTTGATCTGATGAGGAGTAAGGCCTCCAAAATAAGACTGCCCAAGGCTAGGCAGATCTTGAAATGACTTTACCTGCAGTAGCAGAGGCAGCTTCGGGAGAGTTCTGTGGTAACTGAGCACTCAGTCAGTCTCCTAGCACACAGGTCTCCAAGCCAGCTAGAGGCATTTATACAT